GCAGGAGATACTATCAAGCTTTACTTCAATGGTAGAGCATATTGCGGACATGAGACGCCTGCAGCAGGAGTGCAATATCGTCTCAATCCGTATTGCAAAGGTGACAGCAGCCGGTGTGAACTGGGTGAACCTGTCCGAGTTCAAGTCCTGCATGCTGGCTGCTTTGCGGTCCCTCCTCCCTACGGTTTGGGATACAACGCACGAAGTCGCTTGGAATTGGCTGTGGGACAACATAGAGACAATCCTGAAGTCCACCATGGGCAAGCCTCTGGCCTGGGAGCAGTCACTTGTGGGGATGTTTGCAGCTTTGAGCGATGAGCAGCTCTTCAATTATCGTGTCCAGCTTTATGAGAGATTCTTCGCGGCCGTGCCGGCGGGTCAGGACTACTTTAAGCAGTCCAATACGCGCTTGCACTTCATTGCAGAAAGCGCCACCAACATGTCTCTGAAGCTCCTGCAAGATCCGTGGCGGATGGTCGATGATGTCTCTGCACTGGGGCTTCGTCACGTCGGCTATGGCATACCGACCGAGATGTTTGGACCTTTTACCGAAGCGGCGGTGGACGCCCTGAGAGGGCACGTCGATGAGACGTTGGCCCTGGAAGCTTTCAATTGGTCCCTGTCTATCATCTCCCAGATGCTTGTGCATACTGTAACAGAAGGCTCCACGATTGTAATGAAGGCGATCAACAACAACTCCGTGTCCCAACTGGTCAAAGCAGTGAGTTGCGCCCCTCGTGGGGAACGCTCCAACTGGGTCTTGATTGTTAAGGTCGGAACACAGGACATCTCGCCCTTCAGATGGGCCATCGAAAGTGGTAGCTTGAGTGCAGCAAAGGCCATCATTGAAGACTTGTTAGCTATCAGAGCAGATCGGCAAAGATACTATTATGGTGTCGATGACTTGTTTCAGCGCCATCCGGACATCATCAAGATCCTCTGCTCCGAAGCGCCCATGCTGCTGCCGACGCTGCTGGAAGGCTTAATTTGGCGGTCGAGAATAGTCACCCAGGGAGCACGCCGAGTGAACTACTACGTCAAGAACCTTGTTGTTTCTGGCTCTGACGGAGCATTTGCTGGCGCTTTGCCTGCCCTGGTTGCATTGGGCGATCCCAAGATCATTTCTCACGTCGCAGTTGACCTCGTTGCGAATCTGCTGTGGTCGGGCATTGTCATGCATGAGTTTATTACCTCGAAGCTGTGGTTCATTGCCAGCCTTGTCATTCTCATGGTTAGCCAGACACTTCTGCCAGAGTACCGTGAATCTTTCGAAGTTCGGGTGGTGACTTTCGTATGCCGGGTCCTGACCTATGTGCTAACATTGCTACGGCTGCTGGTGCAGCACTCGCGGGACATTTTCCTGGCGTACTACCGGAAACAGACGGTCCGGATATTCAAAGTACCGTTTCCAAAGTATCTCACCAAAACATACGACCTAGTGCCATGCCTGCACTTTCAAAGACGCTTTGGTTTTCACTGTTTCTTGGTGTGTACACTGCAGACATTCTACGATGAAAACCGTTGATGGTAGTGCTAGACGGGTCAACAGCTGTAATCAGAATCTGTATACGATGCGAGATGATGCGAGTGTGCAGCTCAGCGCTCAAGCCAGGCCAGCTTCCTGCTGCTGATCTGTTTGATTCTGATGTGGGCCAACGAGCCGTTCATCTGGTGCTACGATGCACATGAAGCTCAGATCAGAACAGCTCGCGATAAGCCTTGCTAGGCCTGTCCTTTCGTACAAAGAGGAGCGGAACTCTGTTCTTGTTGGCTTATGCCCAGTTTCGGCATGTCAACTTGAGGATTGGCCGACGGAGTATTGCTTGACCTTCGAGGACGGCGGTTTCATATACTCCGTGTTGCCTGAACTTAAAAAAGCACGGCTTTCATCCGTGGTGCTGGGAGAAGACAAGTCCGGATAAAGATAGCAACAAAGGAACCGAACCTGACAACTGCTCCGAGGTTTGCCATGTGTGCCGTGGGACTGCACTGGGGCTTGATGGCGGATCTTGCAGTGTTCTCAACAGGCCGCTACCGGGGGGGGGGGGGGAAGCAGCTTTGCATAGGCTTAGTTGTTGCGAAGAATGAACGGCCTAACCCCCAGCTTCACGTCTTGCGGGTCCTAATGCAAGCAACTCTAAGTGCCAACCATTGAACAACTGGGTAAGCTATGCAGCATCTACTGATGCAGTGCTGTCGTGGAAGGTCTCAGCGCCTTTGTGCTGGTATGCGTGCATGTCGGCTCCGAAATCGGAAGATTCATGTTTGCCTTGATGCTGCTTGACTTTGCTTAGCTTCGCAGTTGCTTTGTTCATATCTGTGTTTAACTGGCTTTTGGCTGTCATGCCCTCCAAGGTTTCTACTCACAGCATTTGCATCGTCAATCACGGTGCTTGAACATCACTATGAGGACATGAAGACGGTGGGCGACAGCTTGATTGCCCTGACAGGAATCACGCTACGATTGTACGAGGATGATTATCGGGACTTGCAGAACGATGCATTGCTGCTAACCGCTGTTTTTTGTTTTGTCACAGCTTCTGCCATTCTCTTGCTGAACCTCCTTATTGCTCAGCTGAATTGCTCCTATGTCTACATTTATCAGAACATGCTTGGCTATGCGAAGCTCAAGCGCTCTTCGGTGACGGTTCAGACATTGGCATTTCTCAAGATGGAGCGCTGGAGCCGATTCGTTGCTACTTTGGGCTTGGACGTCCCACTCGAGTTCAACGAGGGAGATGTGGGCATGGCTGGAGGGATTTGTGCACCTTGGCATACTCCTCATACGGTAGCAGTAGCAGTCTTCGAGTGTCCATACCAAAACGGCTTAACCTGAGAGTTTCGGAATTTCTGGGCCCCTGCCCAGGTGTTTGAGCCGCCGAGTCAAAGCATCGTTGCAACGGACCGGATCCTGCGCTTCGGCGGCTCTTGCTCGCCGGATTTAGAGTGGCCAGCAGACACGACCAAAACCGGCATGGATGCTGACGAGGTGGGGGCGAATGTTTCGATTCGAACCTCAAATTCCGCCAAACCATTGGAGTAGTTGTTCATTGATTTTGCTTGGTTTCTGTTTCCCATGCGATATGTTGTCAGGAGCAGTTGGAGGCTCTGGAGCAACTCCTGAATTCTACGCTTCACCAGTTGCGCAAAAGCAAGAGGGGCGAGCATGGTTCTGGATTCAATGCTTCCAGCCAAACTCCTGAGTCCGGAAAGGGCTACAGTGGTTATAGTGGTGTCAGTGGCGTCAGTGCCCTCTCATCCGACTGAACGCGAGGATGAGAGCCCGAATCTTCCGGAAGCCTCCAAATACCAAACGTGTCAGACTCGCTTTGTGTGCATACAGTCCGGCTATTCATCCCAAACTTCCAGTAGTTAGGATTCTCTCAAAAGCAGAGGATCCGCGAAAATGCGTAAACTCAAAGGGCTAAGCCCGACGAAAGGTGATCCAGTTCATTCCTCGCCACTGCCCACGGCTTGGTGTTACGCCTAGGACATTCCAGAACCAAACACACAAGAATCTGGTGTCTTACAACAAAGGATAAGAAGGTATAACAAGACTGGTCAGATGAGGCCGTGGGTCGGGTTGTGTTGCACGCTTTTCAATCTTCCTCGTCCCGACAGCTATGACTCTACAAGGATAAGCACTCCTAGGATCGTCCGTTGGACACGTCGGGAAGATGACACTACGCACAGATGTTGCAGCCCGCAACACAGAGTTTTTTCGGCTAGCAGGACATTGCCGCACATGTAGATGCCTTATGTGACTTCATCACTTCCACGATTCACATTATGAATTCTCGCCCGCCTGAGCCTTGCATGGCTAGCACGTCAGTCATGTCACCTTCTTGCGTTGCGGCATTTGCCAACGGCATGCATGTTGAAGGCATATCGTTGCTAGTATCTTGACGTCTCACAGCGTGACGCGAATCTGGTCTCACATCAGACGGTTCATGGATCACAATGCTAACGAAAAAGCTGTAGCAGGGCCGCAGATGTGTCTCAGGGTGAGCTGCAGCTTGAGTGCGAGCATGAACCACAGGCGATTCTCATTGCTCTTGGCATCGTCGAGCACTACGTTTTGGAGCCACCACCTCAGCGCACAAGAAAGCCGAAACAGGCCCTTTCATAACCCCAGCGCCTTACGCCGGCCTTTCCTTGGACTGGTCAGCATTGCCTGGTTGTGTGGCACTGGAAGCCCTTAAGTACAAACGGGCCAAACAGGATAGCAGATGATAGCACGCTGTAAGCCAAGGCCGCCAGGCTGAAGCTCGGGATCAGAAGAACCCCGGCTGGCAGGATGCGCTGAATGCCGCTTGGGGAGGTTTCACCCTTCATAACAAGAGGCTGCAGCAGCAGAGATTGTTTGCAGCAGACTAGCTTGTTACGCATGTTGCTTCAGCCTACAACAGGCCGAGAAGCAACAGACTCATGCCGGGTATGCCGCTAAGTGGCGGCTCGGAAGAAGCATCGATAAGCGTTGGCAGGCTGCTGTCGCGCGGCATGCTGGAGTGGTGCACGAACACGCTATCCTGCATAGCCTGCAGTGATGTTGGCTTGATTCAGAGCCAGTTTAATCTATGATGTTGCTCAGGCCCAGTGTCAGATGCGCAAGAAGTCATCAGAGCTTGGAGCGAAACAGAGCATTCTCAGATTTTGAGGCTTTACACCTTGTAGAGGCCTGTAGTTTGCCAGCTGGTTTCAGTGGCAGAACTGCTGCCACCTGCAGGCGAGCCTGCAGGAATCAGTGCATCTGACGAGGTGCTGCCTGCGCAATGCCCTTGCTGTAGATGCTGTCAGGAACGATTTTCCCAGTGCTCTTGGTCGGCCATGAGCAAAATCAATCATTAGAACTTCCGTTCGTGCCAGAGAAGGTTCAGCATTGCAGTCTCCAAAAAGGCCTGTTGCTGCTTTTTAGCCAGGTGTTGGCTCGAGCTTTAATTCTGCGAGTGACTTCATGATGGACTGCTGAGCAGAAGCAGCCGTCGACTCCTTGCTGAGGGATGGTGATCGAAGGTCAGGCTAGCCTTTACACTTTTACGGGCTCCACATTTTGCATAGTGTGCCTTAGGCCTTGATCCCTGAAGGTCCCTTGAAAGACAAGTTGGAGGCGTTGAAGTTCAAGCCGACCTCGCGACGAACAGGCAAGCCTTTGGTTGGCACGGCCGCTCCAGCATCGGGCACCCAGCCGGCCGCAGCCCTCCCCACCTCGCCGACACGACCAGGTGGAGGAAGTCTTGCAGTTCATGTCAGTGTGAGGTGCCGCCCGACCGTATCCTCCAAGCAGACCGTTGACATTAACTCCGAGTCACTTGGAGGTGACAAAGTTGCCTTGAAGCTGACGGTGCCCAAGTCAGGCAATGAAGGAGAAGATGACAAGACGCGGGTAGATGCGCGGACATACCGCTGCAACACCTACTACTGCCCCACAGCCTCCCACGAAGAAGTCGCCTCCACAACAGCATCCCTTGTACAGCATGCAATGGAAGGTGGCAACGGGAGCATTCTTTGCCATGGTATCACCGGAAGTGGCAAAACGCACACCATGTGCGGAAGTTCAAGCTCTCCTGGCATCGTACAAAGCGTGGGCAGGCGGATGTTTGAACATATCCGAGATCAGGTTGCTTCTGGTCGAGTCTACATGGTAGAGGCCTCTCATGTACAGATCTTCTCACACGATGGTTCCACGGAGCAGCTCATAGACCTGCTCGCCGACGTTGAGAAGGACCTCGAGGTGAAGCAAGATCCACGTAATCCACTTTCATACGTTTGTGCAGGCCTTCAACGTATCCCCATTAGGTCTCCCGACGACCTGCAGCAGGTGATCAACAAAGGCAGGGCACGAAGCCAAGCGAAAGAGGATGCAGGCATCGCAGCTGCCCGGTCCCATTGCATGTTCATCTTGACAGTGGAAAGTATGTCGGAGCAGTCTGCAAACGGCGACTCGGGAGTCAGCAAGGGCAAGCTGGTCTTAGTTGACCTAGCCGGCTCTGAAAGTCTCCTAAAGACGAGCAGCTCAGATGTTGCCAGACGTCAAGCGTTGGGTATCAATCGAACGCTGGCATCTTTGAGCATGGCTGTAAACAGCACCAGCGGAACCTCGGCGGTGAAGGGCTCTTTTTTGACCCAGCTGCTCCGAGACTGCATGGGTGGCAGTTCACGAACCCTGGTGATTGCAACCATTGGCCTGGAGCTGGAGGATATGGAGGAGACAGTCAAGACGCTGACATATGCGCAGCAGATGATGACCAGCCTGACTGTTCGAACTTCCAACGCAGGTCTGAATCGCTGCTCGGAGCGATACGAGTCCATATGCCTCCGTCTAGTCCATAACACACGACGGTGGGGGCTTAGGCTATGGCTTTTGCATAATGCCACGTGCGTCTGTTTCGTTTTTGTTGGTTTACTTTCCGGCCCGGCTGCAAGTAGATCCTTGAAATCATCTGTGACGTTGTAAGGCATAGATCAAGATCAGAGCTCTCTGATGCAGATGCGGGACAGACACAACGAGTGCATCCGGATGCTCAAGGAGAAGGTGAGCGATTCCAGGGAGGAGGAGCAGGAGGAACGTCGAAGGCCGAAGCCTGGAACTGGAGGGGGGGGGGCCTAGGACTAGGACATCGATGTGATAAATTTTGACTCACTTTCAGACGGCTCAGACGGAGTGCACAAGGCTGCAGCATGAGATGAATGAGATCAATCAGCGCCTTCTGACCAAAGACTCAGCAGAGCAGACATTGGAGGACAGACTTGATTTGTGCTTCACATCGAACGGAGTACATTTGGACTGCGTCGCCTTGGGTCCTGTGCAGGAGATGCGGCAGCAGCAGTTCAGCAAGATGGACGCCATGCGCTCCTTGGCGTTTGAAAATTGGATTGCTTGGCGCAGCTGCACCATAGCAAGCTTAAGTACAGTAGCGAGGTGCGACATTGCCCCTGAATATGACCCAGGAACGGAAATCTCGGAAGCCATGAACAACCAGATGGAGCTTCTGAGAAAGCAGTCCCAAGTGGAGCTGGAAAGCTTGCGAGCAAGCGTGGAGAAGTCGCAGCAAGAATCAGAACGTGTGCCTCTCGTCATGTTGGTTGACGTATGCATGTCTAGCGGAGTCTAGCGGGCCACTGCCGATTCAAGCATCAGGTCCCGAAGCCCATAAGGCCAGGACCTTGACCCAACCGGAGGCAAGTAGGATGCTGTCCAAACTTCGAAGCTCGATGTTTCCCTCGTGGAGAGCATTATCGTTTGGGAAATCTTCGCGAATTGCAGGAAATCGCAAGTCGAAGCGAGCACTCACCACACTGCTAGGATCAGTACCATTCTTCTGTCACTTGCCGTATTGTTATGCCAGCAAGACCAGAGAGATGCAACTCCCAGACAATTTGAGCATGACGACTGCCTCGTGCAGACTTACAGTTCCGAACGAGAGTAGCCGACATGGCGTGGGTGAACACAAAGGCGAAGGAAATTGCGTCTCGCAACGGCTATGCAACTGCAGAAAGCAATCCTCCAGTGCCTTCTGCTTGAGAAAGACTATGGGGGCTGGTGGCGAGCCGTTGGTACAACGGAAGAAATGAAAACAGGGTTAGGTCCTAGTGAGTCCGTGAGTCCGCCAGTGAGCTGCCAATTCTCGGCATGCCTTTGCAATCTCAGGAAGAAAGAAGCAGAGGCTGGAGTGGTCCGTACTTGCTTTCCTGCGTGTTTCGCAACAAGTCTTGATAATGAGTGAGGCACACGAGGCAGCAGTCGTCAAATTGCAGGCTGGACTCGGGAAGTGCATGCGATGATAGTAACATAGCTGCGGGATAGCAGCAGCAAATTCTTAAGATTTGCCCCACAGGCTACCCTGCAAGATGCGCAACAAGCACGGAGAGCAGCTGAAGACGAGGTCGGTGTCCATGTGCCACGCGTAAGGCGAGCTGTGGATCCGCCTCAGACAACTGGCGAGTGACTGACTGAGGCCTCATCCCTGAAGGTGAAACTGGCGACGGCAGAAGAGCGAGCCAGCATGCTCTCGACGAGACAGGAGGCCCGCGGGGCCCGCTCCTGATAGTCTCAGAGACTCGCGCCCAACGAGCTCTGTGTTCTGTTGCAGGAGTTGCGCAAGGAGCGCGCCGAGTTCGATGAGGAGAGGAAGCAGCTCAGGCTGGCACAGCGCACAGCATGGAATATGTGAGAGAGAGAGAGCTCGAGTTTGAAAGTCACCAGGCAGCAAGGAGAGCAGCAATGGCAACGGCTAGCAGTAGTCGAAGCCGAGCTCTCGAAGTTCAAGTCTGAAGCAGAGGCCACCACGGGTGGTGACGCATGAGAAGGGTTGGCCATGCTTGGCGATCGGGCTCTAGCTGCGCAGGTCCAGAAAAAAGAGATCGAACGGTTAAATGCAGCAAGAGCAGAGGTGCCAATTCTTGTCGTGGTTTGCTGCCAGTCCTCGCACTGCCTCGCTTGGCTGGGTCTACAAGGGAACCGGTCGAGTAATTTCAGTGGTAAATCAATTGCAAAGATCTCTGAGTGGCATCTGCAGGAGAACGAAGGCATCCGAAGCGAGCGGGAGTCTTGGAGATGCAGGGAGCGCGACTTGCAGGCGGAGGCTGAAGCCGGTTCATGCAGGGTTCGCGTTTGGGTTTTTGATTTGTCCCATTGACTCGGGGAATTCTGCAGTGCTCCAGATGAAGAAATCCTTGCAGATTCTCCAAGCCCTGCAGAAGCATCAATGGAACGAATCATGCGAGCCGAACGGAAGGATACATTACATGACAGAGTTTATGCATGATCTGAAGTCACACCAGGAGTGCGAGTATTGCACCTGCATAGAATTTGCATGCCTCCGCTTGTCCTCTCACAGCTTTTGCAGGTTGCCTCTTTCAGGAGCAAGCTCGAAGAGACCAAAAGAGAAGCAGAAGTACAGGCCAGAAACATCATCGCTAACGCAATCGTTCCTAGGGATCTTGTCGGACTGACCTGCAGGAGCTCAAGGTCTCTAGAGACCATGGGGACGCGCTGTCCAAGTGGTGCTCTCAGAGTATTATACGGGCACGTAACGGATCAGGCGCCTAGTCGCGAGCCTAGTCGCGCCCTTGCTCTTGCTTGCAAGCTGGCCCGGTGCTACGTTTTGTTCAAGCCTCAGGCGTACAAGTGACGCGCTGATCACGCCAGAAGCGTTGGCGTCTGTGCGTGAGGGCGTGAGAGTGCGATGGCGAAAGCTTTGACGGCTGCTGTCGTGGCACTATGCTTGACCTGTGGCGTTTCTGGGATGGCCTGCACGGACCAGGACAAGCAGATCTGGTCTCAGAAGGGCTTGGCGGCGTTCACGTCCGACATGGAATCCTGTGGGCATGAGTGCGCGCTGAAAGACAAGTCCTGTGCCAGCGACTGTGTCAAGCGTGACGAAGGCTATTCTGACAGCTGCTCCAGTTGTTTCGGTGACCTTTTCGGATGCACGCGGGACCATTGCAAATTCGCATGCATTGGTGGACAGACACAGGCATGCAAGGACTGTGTGAAGAAGGCTGGTTGCCCGGGCGCCTTCACTGGCTGCAGTGGCTTTACCCCGCCATCCTTGGACACTCCTGCAAACGCAGCATGCACGGACCAGGACCAGCAGATTTGGTCTCAGAAGGGCTTGGCGGCGTTCACGTCCGACATGGAATCCTGTGGGCATGAGTGCGCGCTGAAAGACAAGTCCTGTGCCAGCGACTGTGTCAAGCGTGACGAAGGCTATTCTGAAAGCTGCTCCAGTTGTTTCGGTGACCTTTTCGGATGCACGCGGGACCATTGCAAATTCGCATGCATTGGTGGACAGACACAGGCATGCAAGGACTGTGTGAAGAAGGCTGGTTGCCCGGGCGCCTTCACTGGCTGCAGTGGCTTTACCCCGCCATCCTTGGACACTCCTGCAAACGCAGCATGCACGGACCAGGACCAGCAGATTTGGTCTCAGAAGGGCTTGGCGGCGTTCACGTCCGACATGGAATCCTGTGGGCATGAGTGCGCGCTGAAAGACAAGTCCTGTGCCAGCGACTGTGTCAAGCGTGACGAAGGCTATTCTGACAGCTGCTCCAGTTGTTTCGGTGACCTTTTCGGATGCACGCGGGACCATTGCAAATTCGCATGCATTGGTGGACAGACACAGGCATGCAAGGACTGCGTGAAGAAGGCTGGTTGCCCGGGCGCCTTCACTGGCTGCAGTGGCTTTACCCCGCCATCCTTGGACACTCCTGCCAACGCAGCATGCACGGACCAGGACCAGCAGATTTGGTCTCAGAAGGGCTTGGCGGCGTTCACGTCCGACATGGAATCCTGTGGGCATGAGTGCGCGCTGAAAGACAAGTCCTGTGCCAGCGACTGTGTCAAGCGTGACGAAGGCTATTCTGACAGCTGCTCCAGTTGTTTCGGTGACCTTTTCGGATGCACGCGGGACCATTGCAAATTCGCATGCATTGGTGGACAGACACAGGCATGCAAGGACTGCGTGAAGAAGGCTGGTTGCCCGGGCGCCTTCACTGGCTGCAGTGGCTTTACCCCGCCATCCTCGCAAGAAGTTGCTCCCACATGCACGGGAAGTGCTGACCCCCATGCCGGGATCTGCTATCAGGGCTCTTCGTCCATTCTTGGGCAGCAGGAGACCATCCATGTTAAGGTGGACAGCTATGCCAGCAGCAAGGGCATCATGGATTTGACTGGCTCAGGCGTCAAAGCCATCAGCTGCATCAACAAACCTTTCACGAAGACTGGACAGGACATCACCACAGATGTGAGCGACTGCATCCATGTGTTCGGGTTGAAGCTGTCGGACATTGCATACTGTTCAGATCAAGACAAGGTGTTGGTCACACTGAAGATTGCTGGCTTTGACGATCGTGTCGAGCTTGACAAGGTGACTTGTGCAGAGGCAGAAGCGTCCATTGTCGTTTGAGGCACAAGCGCTGTACTAGCTTTGCTGGAGAGGCACTTGGCTTCACGGCACATTTAATCAGTGCACCTATGGCAATCTATGGACGGAGAGCTGGCCCTACTTGTAACAGCTATTCGCCAAATCCATGGTCAAAGAAAAGAAAGCCTGCCCTCGCGGGCCCTCGTCGCAGACAGACAGTTCTTAAAGTTAACAAACTGAGCGAATCAGCCATGCGAGGCTGAAGCTCCAGATCGAGAGGCTCGAAACGGAGGCCCCTGCAGTCCCCGCAGCATGTTGCATGCTTGTTGCAAACTCCTACTTATGCCCACGATGCATAGTCCATGATGGTATTGTCCTTGAGGTTATGTTCATGTATCCTCAGCCTGGCCGAGTTTCAGTCCAAGTAGCACTTGTTCCTCTCACGGATGATGGACGAATGCTTACACCAGTTTTCTGGAAAGGCAACCACGGACTCCACACATACCTGGTAGCATTGATGTTGTGTCAATGTTGTTCTCCGAAAAGGTATGGGTTCTGATGAGGGACACCTTGCATCATCTCACATTCGGTTTGGGGCTGATGCATGGTGTCGCAAGTCATCAACTGGTGCAATACTTCCTCCATCCGCCGGAAATGTTTAATTCGGTATGTATATATATATATATATATACACATATAGTTTATATAGGTCCCCAACCCTTTACCCTTAGGCGACCCCAGGTTCCCTCTAATAGGCCCTGAAGTGAGTGTTATGTAGTCTTGGCCCTTACAAGGCCCTTTTCCGGGGCAGCCCGGGCTCAAAGACTCCCCGAAAATCGCGTTTTCTGTGAGGGTTCCCTTGAAAAGAACTACAGGAAGCGATTTGTAGTGTGATGGTTGCTACTAACGTCCTAAAGCATGCAGCGGTTGTTGCAAGTTTCATGTCCAGTATCAGTCTTCTTTCTCTCATTGCCCCACGAGTGCCACTACTCACTACTATTGTCACACTGAATATCACTGTTGGTCCATGTGCTGACGAATACACACGATTATTTGATCAGGATTTCTAGTTGCTGTTATTGTTTCAAAACTCTGATTACTACTGCTGTTATGCGAAAATCGAAAGCCCGGAGGCATCCAGTCGATCCCAGCAGCTCAGCGAAGCCAAGGAAGCCGTTGCCAATCTCGAGGCAGGGTTCGGCCGTCGCAGATCATGCAGCAGGTCATGTCCTTGGCATATTCATAGACCGGTGAAGATGGCGACTCGGAAGACAGCGATGATGATGTGATGACACTGTGAATATGGTCGTCATTACAGTCATGCTTCAGGAAGAAGTACTGCGTATCTGCGGCAGTTTCGTCAACTGCTGTTTCATTATTTAAATAATGATCGTAATTCGTGCCGATCAGGTAGCCCAGGCTCAGCAGAAGAGTACAAGGGGAGAATTTTCAAGCACTCTCAAGCTTACAGTTGGCGCGTGGCCTCCTACAAGTCCAGACCAGGTTCAACTAGGACCACGCCCGGCGCAGAGCTTTGCATTCTTTCGAAGCAAAGGGGTGCTCAGACGATTCAGTTGCACCGGGACACTGCCTCAAACCCGACATTCGCAGCCGAGCTCCGAAACTCGACGCCTTGATGTTGGCGTGCATGCATTCGTTTCATGTCGGCAGCATTCCTGTAGGGAAGGCAGCCACCGCAGGGTACCCTGCGCTGGAGACCGATGCAAGGGTGCTTCGTGTCACAGGTCAGCAGGACATTTGGCTTTTGCGAGGTGTCAGTATTTCGCAAGGAGTTCTCAGCAAGGCAATCAACAGAACGAAGCTTCAGAGACACGCATCTGGCTGAGTGCCACAGGCTGACCGAGCCATCGCGCAGCAGCGCGAGGACCAGCTAAGGCCACCGACTTAGACCTTCGTGAGCCATCAGACGCCCTAAGAAAGCCCAGCCAGATTCCGCTAAGTTTGAGGCAACAGGCTGCTGCAGAGATCAAGCGGTGGCAGGCTACTGGGCTCTGTTTGCGCATCGCCGAAGTATATGAAGAATTCCAGGGAAGGCCAGTGTGTATTCGTTCTTTCCACTGGGCGGGGGCCAAGGGATGCAAACAAAGGCAGAACGATAAAAGATGTGCGCAACGACCATGTGGACGACCCTGCATCCTAGACCGGGACCCTGAATCAGTATCGCGACGACGATGATACATTAATGAGTACATACATACATACGTTCATACGCACAGATATCTATACGACATGTCAATATACTGCTACTATACTACTACTACTACTACTACTACTACTACTACTACTACTACTACTACTACTACTACTACTACTACTACTACTACTACTACTACTACTACTACTACTACTACTACTACTACTACTACTACTTCTGCTACTACTACTACTACTACTACTACTACTTCTTTTGCTTGCGCAACCGGAGTAGAAACAAGAATCCCCCAACCTGGTCTCAGCCTTCGTAAGGTTTGGCTGATGGTTGGATTGCTGCAGTGCTTGCACTGTGGGGCATTTGAGTAGTCCTTGCAAAGCCTGCGCACAGCAGCTCGAGGTGAAAGGTCGGTCGTACTGCCTTGCAGGTGGAACTGGAAACGAGCCGAGCTGCAGAAGCAGAGCTCATGAAAATGTTGGATGAGGCCCCTTGTTTCGACGTTCATCAACAAGCAGGCGCGAAATCCAAAAGCTATTCATGGCCGAGACTCAGGTCCAAGACGGTATCATTCAAACGAACGCTGGTGCTTGAACCTCAGCTTCGGGATGTATGGATAAGTTTGCAGCAGTTAGTGCAGAGTTTGCTGCCCAAGTCGTTTTCAATACATGGCCGGGCAACGGGAAGAGGTTCGTTCGCGAGTCACTACGAGCCCAAGCATTACATACATTGCGCGTCATGATTTGACAAGTTTGCATAAAACACATATACAAACACATACATACACACATACATACATAGACATAGTCATATATATATATATATATATATAAATGAATAGACACAGGCAGGTTTTGTGTAGACAAACTTGTCTGCATTTCTGTATACACAGCCACAGCACATACACACACACATGTATGTGTTTTTGTTCACACATGCATGTTAGCATGTGCACGCAGCTACAAATCTGAAACAGTCTGGAGTACGTGTATGACAAGAGTCGCACTTATGTTT